CATGCTTGTTGATAACCTATGGTGGAGCCAGGATGGTGGTGGTGCATCCATCTTTGTGCTCCTTGATGTCTCAGCAGCTTTCAATACTGTCAACCACAGTATCTTTCTGAGCCAGCTCCATGGGTTGGGATTGGGGGTGCCATTTTATAGTAATTTTCTTCCTTTCTCCAGGGTTGGTTCCAGTCAGTGTTGGTTGGCAGGGATTGTCCCCTAGGCTCATTTGTGGGGTGCCACAGAGTTCTATTTTCTCTCCCCTCCTTTTAAACATGTACATGAAACCACTGGGTTTCATATGCCAGTCTGGGATTTGTTATCATCAGTATGCTGATGATACTCAATTATATCTTTCAACTCTGGGCTGGCAAAGTGAGGTTCTGTTCCAGTGCCTGGAGGCTGTGTGGGTCTGGATGGTATAGAACTGTCTCCGACTCAATCCTACCAAGACTGAATGGCTTGTGGGTGTTTGGATCGCTCAGATCTGGGGATATTCCAACTCTGACCTTAGATGGGGTTGTACTTCCCCATCCAAGGATGGTGCACAATTTGGGGGTCCTCCTGGATTCACAGCTCCTGCTCAATGAGCAGGTGGACGTTGTGTCCAGGAAGGCTTTTGCCTTCAATTTCATCTGGTGTGCCAGTTGTGCCCTTTCCTAGATTGGGGAGTCCTTCAGACAGTCACTCATGCCCTGACCACGGCTAGATTACATGGGGCTGCCCTTGAAGACCACCTGGAAGCTTCAACTAGTCTAGAATGCAGTGGTGCGGGCAGTGATGGGCATGCCTTGGTATGCCCACATAACACCTCTGCTTTGCAAGCTGCACTGGTTGCCAGTTTGCTTCTGAGTGATTCAAGGTGCTGGTCACCACTTACAAAGCCCTACATGGCACAGGGCCTGATTACTTGAGGGACCACCTGTTTCCCATAGTATCTCCCTGGGCCAGTTCAATCTAGCAGGGTTGGCACGCTCCGGGTTCCACTGATTAAACAAAGCCATCTGTCAGGACCCTGGAAGCACGCCTTCTCTGTAGCAGCACCTGCCCTCTGGAATGAGGTTCCCCCAAAATTTGAATAGCTCCCACCCTACTGCTATTTCGAAGAGCCTTAAAGACCTGGCTCTTCACCCAGGCCTTTGGAGAGGATGACTGGCCCTTTCTTCTTTTTCATTCCCTTCTGGGTTTATTTTCTCTGCTGTCGTTGTTGTCTTTTTTTTTGGAGGGGGGGGTACTGATCTTTGTTCTTAAATGTTTTTAACAATGTAACCCCCAGAGTTGCTGGGAGTCAGGCAGCATATGAAAAAATTCAGATGTGATCAGTTTTACAGCAGCCTAGTGGAATTATTTGATGTACTACGATCAGTAGAGACAGCGGCTGAATACAATACAGTGGGGCAAAAAAGTATTTAGTCAGCCACCAATTGTGCAAGTTCTCCCACTTAAAAAGATGAGAGAGGCCTGTAATTTTCATCATAGGTATACCTCAACTATGAGAGACAAAAATGGAGGAAAAAATCCAGAAAATCACATTGTCTGATTTTTAAAGAATTTATTTGCAAATCATGGTGGAAAATAGTATTGGTCAATATCAAAAGTTCATCTCAGTCCTT